GTGTGGCTGAGGTACTGGCTGTGTGCCTATTGTTCTTTTGTGTTGTAACGACCTGGGTAATGGTCTATGTGATGACATCCTGAGCTCTATTTTAGTGATATCTGAGTCCTGTGCTGCAACCTGGTTGCCGAAGATGGCAAGTGGGACCTCGTCGAAACGTTGCCAACACAATCTCAATCTTACACGGGAAAAGATCCGAATACAACAAGACAAGCATACCTACACCCGTGAAAATCTATGAAAGTGTGTGTGTGTGTTTGTGTGTGTGTTTGTGTGTGTGTGTGTGTGTGTGTGTGTGTGTGTGATGAATGCATAAGCATGAAAAAATGGCAATACCTGAAGATAATAAAACTTGCAAAATGTCTGTGGAAATTCTCAGTCATCCAAGTCATAGTTGTCTCAATGATGCTTTTTCAAATCGTTTTTCTTTTCTTTTCTTTTGAAAAAGCACCTGAGACAACTTGCTAAAATGTTTAAACTGATGTTTGATTAAGGAAAAGATAATAGCTACATTTATTGATAACTGGAAACCCACTGTGGACTTTTTGTCTAAAAGAATTAAATAAATCTATAATTTATGGTTTTTATATCAAATAGAATACATTATAGAAAAAAGGGAGTCAAATATCATTGTAATTATTACTACTACGAAAATCAGAAGCTTCATTTTATTTTTATTTTTATTTTTTTCTTATCTGCACTTTTAGCTTTTCCTTTTTTTCTTTCTTTTTCTCTTTTTTATTCTTAGTTCTCATTGTTCTTAAAAGTATCAATAAAAATTATACAATGGACTAGAGCGGTTAATTAATGGTCCAGAAATGTAAACATGAATATTGCTATAACGTCTCTCTTCACAAATATGGAAGAATAAAAGAACCTTATCAATAAAGTTGCTGACTTTTTTCCAGGTAATATTCAAGGAGCAACTATTGTTGATGCCTTAGATACACTGTATATCATGGAAATGAAAGAAGAATTCAAAGAAGCCAAAGAATGGGTAGAAAAAAACCTTAATTTTAATGTGGTGAGTATTAACATGAAATGCTGCTTTTTTGTACACACAGTTTGCCGATATGACTGAAAGAATGTTCATTTATCTACATTTTTTAATCATTCCTCTCAAGAGGTACAGGCAACTTCTGATAAAACTGAGAAAAGGGTAAAAAAATGTAATTGATTAAAATTAAAAAGATTAAATAAGAAACTAAAAAACAAGATAATAGACAATGTGGGGATTTTCTCTCTATCCTGTCAGCTACTTCGAGCTTAGAACACCCCTATCAGAACACCAGGCAGGCAGAAGAGTCAGGTTTAAGGCTTTTCCGGAAGGCCAGATGAATGGAAGCCGATCTTACCTCCAGTGGGAGCCACACCCTTAGCTTCTCTTCTGCCTCTGTGGATATTTGTTTATTTAGAATGTCAATTCCTTTCTGCTGCTTGAAATATAGATAGATAGGTGATTGGATCATTTTTAAATGAAAAGCTACAAACTGCTTTAAGTAGTGTCATATTAAACAGCTACTGTTCTGGAAACAGTATGTAAATGGGAAAGCAGAATAGGAAAAAATAATTGTGTTGACATGAGACCTGGCAGCAGCTATGGCCAGTTCAAAATTTCTAATGTCGCATATGTTTTAAAGAATCAGGGTTGCCCACATATTTCAGAACACTTAAAATGGCAGAAAATACTTCTCTCAGAAGTGCTGACTTGCCTAATTTATTTCCTACATGATTTTTATGCAAAGATATTTTTGCCATTATAAATGTAGAAATTATTGTAAATAATTTGTAAAATGATCTGAAATGGTATAAGATCTCTTGCTTGAGCAAGAAGTTGGACTAGAAGATCTCCAAGGTGCCTTCCAGCCCTTTTCTGATTGATTGGTTGATTGATTGATAATGATGATCCATTGTCCTCATACAAAGGGAAGAAAAAAGTCATTCAATGAAGCCCCTCAAAGAAAAGGACATGACTCAAGAAAATAGGCAAGTCTTAATCAGAGCTATAAAAACAGAGTTTTGACTTCTGTTGCTAGACAGCTTTCCGGTCTTAGATCTAACCTGCATGGAACTTTAGCAACTGAAGTCAGCTTGTTTCTTTTCCTGTACTCTTACATTCCTGCAGTGCAATAAAGTGCACAGCTGCCCTAAAGTACTCTAATCTGTTAGGTCTGACCTCTTGTACTTGTAATTACTGGCACGGGACAGGTTTGAACTGTCTGCAACTTATCATGGAAGATGTCTTCAAATTATTCTGGATAGTTCATTGGTCATGTCAACTCATTGTACATGGCTACTGTGGGGAAAAAAACAAATTTCATGCTAGGAGTTCCTTAAAAAAGAGACCAACAATAAAACTGTATTGTTAACACTGTAATACCCTTATACAAATATGTGTTGTATGTCTGTATCTGAAGTACTTTATACAGCCTGGTTGCAATAGTTGGAGAAAACGATATAAGAAAACATACAAAGAAAGGGCAACGAAAATCATCAGGGGTTCAAAATCTTCTGTATGTCTGGGAATCTTTAGCTTGAAAAAAAATGCCAACTGAACAGGATAATGAAGCGGATTCAGAGAAGCTTTAGAATTGACGAGGGGGGAGTTATTCATACAGTACATACCAAACCTATGGAATTCATTATGAGAAAGTTGGTGATTATCATGTAATTCCCATTGCATGGTTTTAAATGTTTTTAAAAGGCTTTGGATAAGTACATAAAGAATAGGTCTAGCCAGAAGGTATAGTGTCAATTCTCAGCAGATACCCCCAGTTACTGGTTCCTGGGAAAGTGATGGGAGGTGGGTATGTCTACTGCTTGAGAAACAGCCCAGAAGGATCTTGTTGGTCACTGTGAGAAATAAAAATAGAAATAAAGTGACCTTGACCTGACTAAGAGCTGTTCGTATGTATATGTCAGAAATAAACCAGCATGCAATATTCAAGCTGTGAGATTAGAGTTAAACAAGACGTGACACTGACATATAACTTATTGTGAACAATATGTCAACATTTTTGTTTGGAATAGTTTCCTACAAATATAAGTGAGGATCTATTTGAGAAGCAGAAGTTGGCAACTCTAAGAACAATGTTCATTAAATGTGTGCTATTCTAAAGCATAGTGATAATTGTTTTCAAAATCTGATATGGGTATAAACAGCATAAATTTCAATTAAGTACACATTGATTTCTTAAAATTGCTGTTGGCAGCTTCATGTCTGGTATTACACATTATATTTATATATTATTTTGATTTATATTCTAAGATTCCAACCTAGAGCATTCACAATGCAAAAACAAAACAACAGAAACAGTTAAAACAGCAGCCAGTGTAATCATTAATCTCAGAACAATCATTCAGTTCAAAGGAATCCTGAGGGACTCAATAATTCAACTGCTATGAGGAAACAGCCATCTAAATAGCACTCTAATACAATGACCCCCTCATCCTAATTCCAACAGCCTACTCAGAAGGATATCAACATTGATACCATCAAAAGCTGCTAATAAGTCCAGCAGAACTAACAGGGATGCACTTCCTCTAGTTTGGGTTAAGTTAGGTTGGGTCTTTTATGGCACAGGTGATCGCACAGTAGGAATGGGCAATTAATTTTCCCAAGGCACCACTTGAGAAACTGGGACTGGGAGGTTCCCACCACCACTGCCTCCCTCCACCAGACAGGGACAGTCAAAGGGCCAGATATGGCCCATGGACCATAAAATGCCCAAATCTGCTACAGAGCAACCAAAATAGTTTATGGGCCATAACCAGACTTAAAACCACATTGAAAAAAGATCTAGACAATGTGTCTCATCCAAGAGACCTTTTCTTCCTTATTCACCAATAAGGAAAAAAGAAGGAAGAGCAAATTAGCCACTGACCTAGAGTTGTTTTCAACCTCTAGGACCACATTTAGTTTCTTCAGAAATGGCCTGAGAATTTCCTCTTTTGAAGAGGCTGCAACTACTTCCTGCTTTGCTGAGGCATTTATAACATTTTGGCGCTCACCCAACAACAACCCCCCTTATTAAATTAAATAAGATGAGAGGGTAAAGATTGAGTACCTAGTGGAATTTCAGGCACTTCACCTCAACAATTGAAACTCTTGCAATAAAACAGAAAAGAGTGGTACTCTGGACACTCCCGCTTCTGGAGTTGCTTTAAGTACAGAGACTGTGTGCTCATATGTTATCCTGGAATCAAGAATAGGGAGCTGGCAGTGAACACAATTATTTTATCACAATTAATATTAAAATTCTATTACCTAAAGTTTTATATCATGATTTTTATATATACATCAGGTACACACCGGTATGCCCATACCTGTTCATGAAATTTAGCGTGTTTTCCCATACCTGTTCCTCCGGAGGCCGTGTACCAGAATGCTCCCTCCCATGGCCTGCCCCCTTGCTCACTCCCCCTGCCTGCCCAGTCACCACTAGCTTGCTCACCCCGCCTGCCCACACCAGGCTTGTCCCGCCTACCCAGTTACTTTGTCGGATCAGAGGATTGGGAGAAGTCCATGTGGCGTGCACTCCTTCTCTTTGACAGCCACCTCGTTTCTAATTGGAGGAGATCCATGCAGAGGGAGGAAAAACATAGATTTCTTTCCCCCATCCCCATTTGGAAATGAGGCTGCTGTCAAAAGAAGGGAGCCCTCCCCGTGTGGCTTCTTCAAACAGGCGAAGAAGGAACAGGAAGGGAGTTTGGCTTTTGAATAAGCCATGAGTTTCCAATGGGGGGAGAAATCCATGTTTTTCCTCCCTCTGCATGGATTCCCCCCCCCCAATTGGAAATGAGGTGGCTGTCAGAGAAGAGAGCAGCTTGTGCAACAGCCGAATCCTCACCTCCTGTTCCTTCTTCGGCTGTTGGACAAGCCCATGTGGCATGTGCTGCCCTCTTCTCTTTGACAGCCACCTCAGTCTAAAACATTTTTTTCATCCACATTATTTCCCATGGCCCTTCTGATGAGTTTTAGGATAACACTGCTAAAGACAAAAGTTTTCATATCAGATGCTGGATGCTGTCTTTTTTCTATAGGTTTCAGCAAACTGTAGAATATATTGTGCCAGAGTTGAGATTTGTACAATTATTATTAGCTTCAGGAAATCTGCTAAAATGTTGATTTGGAAGTAAAATTTAAAATGGTAGTATCTTCACATGGTTCTGTAATTCATTTCAATACTCATAATCATTTAACTGATGATAAAGAGTAGAAACATCTAATTAACTTTTACAGGAGGAGGAATTTTTTTCCATAATTTTCTTGAGGATTATATTAAATTATATAGTATATAAACATTTTCAAAGTGCAGAGAAAAATCAAAACAAAAGTAGTAAAGGAGACAAACAGAACAAATTCTCAGGAAGAATAATCAACGTTAACAATTTCACCGTCCCTTAAAATATAACCAAATATTTCTATACTTCACCCCTTTTTCTATAAGCCCGTCTCTACATATTCAGCTCCCATTATTAGTCAAGAAAAGCAAGGATTATCAGAAATAACAAATATTTATATCTCAATTTCCATTTAAGCAAATTCTC